GAGGCAGAGGCAGCCAGAAGGGGACAGGGGGGGGGGTAGCCTCCTCTGCACCCTGGTGACTTACCCCTAATCCAAGGCCCTGCATGTGTGGGTGGAAAATCATATGTCTAGTGAGGTCTTTGTGGCTGTAAAGCAAGCCATAAACATTGAGCAATGTTGAGTAGAGAAGTCAGCGGAAAAAGTGATAGTAATCTATGCTTCCTGATAACTGCAAAAAAAATAAAAGATTACAGAAGAACATTTCAATATGTGTAACTAAGACAGAGAAATACGCAAGACTGAGAAAAAAAGTGAACTTCAACTGACTCATTAACAGGAAAAGACAAACAAACCCCAAAACTGTGGGAACTTGGATTTAAAAATTGCATCTCTTTTTCTGTCTATGAACAGTGTTTTCTTCTGATTTCTTGAAGTATTCCACAATATGATTTCCACAACAGAATTATGCCTGATCTTAATGCTTTGCCACCTGAGATCACAGTCGGTCACTACTGATTTTCAGCTTTGTCCTTTTCACACAGCTTTTCATGTAATCATTGATATTTTTGGAAATTGGGGGTTGTATAGAATAGAATTCAGAATTCAACTTTATTGTCATTGCACATGCACAGGTACAGGGCAACGAAATGCAGTTTGCATCCATCCAGAAGTGCTTTAGTGATATAGATATCAGCAACGCACAGCAATTCTGGACGTATAGATGCCGTTATATAGTACACACCCATTTAAATTTTTAGCAATTAGTTAACAAAATGTTTAAAAATAATCCATCTGATTTTCCCTTGTCTTAATGATAGAGCTGTAATTTTGGTAAGTCTGTTAATGCAGCGAATCTGCATTTTTACCTTTTTCCATTTTTCTAAACTTTAGGAATAGAACAGAGATATTACCATTACATTAATAATGACAAAAGCACTCAATATGCACACTTTTAACACTACTGTGCAGTTCCTTTTACACTCACTGCTGTGATGCTTTCATTTTCTATTGCTTGTTTAATCTATTCATATCTTTTTCCATAGCACAATTTAATCTTCCTTTGAAAAGTCAAGAAAACTTCTGTGAGTTGCTGCCAATGCCACTCTTTTCATGCAGAGGAAACCTAGGGTTAACTTTGTGTAACTACCTATGCTGATTGCCAGTATTACGGTAAGTGATCATGGAAAGATACTCTGGGTATGTTGAAAACACAGGCCTCTAGTGGACTTGTTTGTTGTTCACCTGCCCATTGATAGTTTTTTAGCCATTCCTCCAGTGAAATGGATTGTTCTAGGAAGTGCTGGTCACTAATACTGTTTTCAATTAAACTGAATTCAATTGAATTCAATTCAGTCTTATTTATATAGCGTCAATTACAGCAAAAATCATAATTACAAAAACAGATGCCTCAAGGTGCTTTATATTGTAAGGTAAGACTGTACAACAGCCAGCTATAATACCAGATAAAAATATGACCTATCAGGCTCTGGAGGTGAGAGATCTTGTGTGAATATGGTTTATGAATACAGCCACATCATTCACATATGCAAATGACACAAACTCCTCCTTCTCTTTCTGTGATAAGAAAGCATTTAAAGATTGAATCATTCAGTGTAGTGTCCCACTGCTCTTTATTAGCTCACCCTGACTTTGATCTTACCATGTTTACCCACTGTAACCTGGTAGTACTTATATTCGTGTTGATTCTTCAAGATCAGGGTAAGTATGTTTACTTAGTGCATACTTATATCCAAAGTCAGAACTGAAACACTGCATGATAAAGATTTTGATATACAGAATCTGATAACTTTTTTTCTTTCTAGTTTATACAGGAGAAATCATTGGTGGCCGTGAAGTTGTGCCACATAGCAAACCATATATGGTGCTTTTGGAGCTGCACAACTTAGGTGGTCATAACAAACACTGTGATGGCTTCCTCGTTAATGAGGACTTTGTGCTGACTGCTGCCCACTGCCATGCAAAGTAAGTTTAACATAGTTTATTTTCACATAGAAAGAATTAAGTGTCCAGTATATTTTGTTATCGCAGTAAGCTGGGTTTATGTTACTCATAAACTCACGGACTGGGATAAAAGCTTTCATGGCGGTTTCATGAATGTACTCATAACATTTTTTTATTTTTTTTTATTTGGTTAGCATCAGACCAGCACTCTTCTCTTTTACACTGTCAAAAAGTGATTGCACTTATTTCATTTTAGGTCCTACAAAGTCTTTTTGGGACTTCATGATTACCACAACCATAATGGAGTACAACATGTGTCGGTGCCTGAGACCAATGCATTTCCACACAAAGACTATAATCCAGTTTCTTACAGCAACGATATAATGCTTCTTAAGGTAAAAGAAACAACAGTATTTTGGGGGGTTTGTTGTCAAATTTTTATTATTTCTTCCAAGTCAAATTTAATTTCTTATTATTGTTTGTTATTACCTTTAGATAATGTTCAACTAAAACAAACAGCATTAAAAGGAAGGGTCAGAAATATGTAATATTGTAATATTTTAACAAATATTTTTGTCTCTCCTTGCTCCTGAAGTTGAGCACCAAAGCAGTGTTCAACGAGAATGTGAAACCTATTGATCTTGCAGACCGTGATGATGGATTTGCGCCAAAATCGTGTGTAGTTCCTGGTTGGGGAAACACGGGAAACGGTAAAGACTCTGATGTGCTCCTGGAAGTCAATGTAACCCTGACTGAGAATGAGATTTGTGCTAAGGAAAATAAGTACTGCTCTGAGGGTGCCACTGGACCATCCACGGTAAGTAGCTTTTATACCTTAAAAAAGTTTGGTCAGTAATGATAATGATAGTGCTGCAATAACTACATACTATTCTTGTATTTCCAGGGAGACTCTGGTGGCCCATTAGTCTGTGAAAATGGAAAGGCATACGGGGTGGTGTCCGCCAGTAGTAACTCAATGCTAGATGGCCTCAAGCTCTACAGTTACATTAAGATACCTGACAAACGAGACTGGATTGATTCTGTCATAGATCATCATCGAAAGTGGTAATTCGTGTATTGAATCTGCCTTTAAAAAAAGTTATATGACAACTGAGATTTGAATATTTGAACTCATTCTATTAAAATGATGGGTGGCAAGGTGGTGCAATGGTCACACTGCTGCCTTTTTTCTTCCAGCTACAAACCTTTTCTTTGCAAACCTGTAGTTTCATTTTAGTCATAGTTTAAAATCTTAAATTTAAATGTAGAATGAATATCATTTTTTTAATTTTAATGTTAGATACTGCATTTACTACTCTTAAAATCAAAAGATTTTAAGATTTCGAATTAGTTTAAGAGAGAAACCAAGATGATATGTTGGATTGTAACAGCAATAAACTGTTGTGCTACTCACTGTGTTTATATTTCATTATACAAACATATGGATAAATATACATTTATGTATGTATAAAATATGTGTTTGTTTTTGTGTGCATGCGTTTATAATGTATGTATGACAGTTGTAAACTGCACATGCTTCCCAGAGAACATCCCAGGTCAGAGGTTGACAACATACATTCATTGTTTAGCTGTAGTTCATTGTTTAGCTGTACTTGTTGGCTTAAAATTTGTTCAGCAAAGGACCCAAACAGAGATGACAAAGAGCAAATTTTAATAGCTCCATAAATGGAGATAATTTAAATTTTTTTAGAGGACCCTATATTAATACAGTACTAACAGAATACTCAAGTACATATTTTCCCTTTTGCTTGTTTGTGTGTTTTTTAAATAAATTTGCAAGAATTTCAAACAAACTTTTTTCGCTTTGTCATTAAGGGATATTCTGTGTAGATGTCTGAGGTAAAAAATGAATTTAATGAAATTGATCTGTTTCTTGACAACGTAATTCTTCCAAAATTACTAGACAGTCAAGCAATGGAACTGGATTC